ATATATACAAACACAGATATATATATATACATACATACAATATGGTGTGTGTGTGTTGTGTGTGTGTGTGTGTGTGTGTGTGTGTGTGTGTGTGTGTGTGTATGTATGAATGTGCATATATATATATATATATATAATATATATATATATATATATATATATATATATATATATATATATATGTGTATATATAATATATATATGTATATATATATATATATATATATATATATATATATATAATATATATGTATATGTATGTATGTGTGTGTGTGTGTGTGTGTGTGTATGCACATATATATTATATATATATATATATATATATATATATATAATATATATATATATATATATATATATATATATATATATATATATATATATATATGCACACATATTATATATATTTAGCGTGTTCGTCTAGCAATCTTGCAGACCTGCATTCAATCCCACGCCCGGCCAGTGAATGGTAACCTTCCTTGCACACAGGGGGAGATTTGGAAACAAAATAAAACAGACAATATGTCACAGCAAAGAATATGCATTGTAACAAATGGAATTAAAACTAAAATCTACAAAAAGAAAAAAAATCTTCCATCCAGGGGTGTCTCACACAGAGAGAACCTGGTGGGCAGGACAACCCTGTGGGAAGCGAGCCAGACTGTCCGCCAACTGTGCCCCATCATCCGGCATGAGGACCTATTACAAAAGGCATCATGATATTCCAAGGCACAGATTCACTACCATAGAGGAAAACCGGCATTATCAGCGACTTGAAAACACACAGCTTGGTCCTTCTGCACAGTTACCTTCATTTCCAAATATTTTTGTTGAGAAAATTCATGCCATGACTCCTGCTGCCAGGCCAATTCGTCTACTGACTTCCTGCTCTGATAGCTCAGAATTATGAACTACGACTACCAAGGAATGTAAAGCTCTCTGTGATGTCAATGTCCTTGCTGCAAGTGTTGAAAAGTGTTAGTGCAAGGACACAGCCTTATCTCACTCCTTAGCTAACAGGACTCCACCACACTTTAGAGCACTTTCAGTACCGGTATACATACTTGCTATGAGTCCAATGAACCCTGTTGGAATTCCTCACAATCTCTGGATCTCCTAGAGTGATTCCCGATGCAACATATCAAACACCTTGAGGTCAATGTAAGCAGCCCATGTCCAAACTCACGTCGGCGCTCTACAATGACACAAAGAGCCAGGATAGTCTATTTTGGACTTGCCAGTAATGAATCCAGAATGATCTATTATCTGGTGTTTAAGCAGATGGTCTCTGCAGCATGTAACCTGCGCACCATAGGTTCACCACCAGCCTTTAACAGTTCAGCTGGGATGCCGCAGATACCTGTTACATTATCACTCTTCAGTTTGGAGATCACTCCCTTAACTTCAGTTATGGAGGGTGGATCCTCATTGAAAGGTGGGTCCGGCAATGGAATCTCGACGCTTCCCGAATACAAGGTAATTGTTGGTGGATCAACCTGGTACAACTGCTTAAAATACTCAGCCAATGTTCTCACACCACAAGAGGATCTGAGAAGATCTGGCCATATACTGAGTAAATTGCTATCACCTGTGAAGAGGGCTTGGAGTTCATTTTTCTCAGTGTTTGGTTGCCAAGATGAAGGTCATTTATTAAGAAATAGCCTTCGACCTCCTCTGCAAGACTCCTACTGAACTGTTCCTTGTCCCTTCTTAGAGCCCTGCGCACCCGGGAATGATGCAAATCCCAATCCCCTTTTCAGACAAGCTACATGACAAGCTTCTGTGGCTTCCAGCATCTGCGAAATAAAATTCTGTCTTACTCTTGGGCGTTCACTAATTGATTCTTGAGTTACATCAAGTATTTCGCCCTTGAAGCTGAAGCACTAAATTCTCAATTCCTGGGACCTTGCATCTCATAGCCAGCTCGATCACAACCAAATACCACACTGTAGTCGCCAAAAACAATATGAATATTTCGCCGAGGAGAACTGTCTGACACAGATGCTAGTTTGGCGTAAAACATCTCTTTCACGTCCATTTTACAAACATCAGTAGGAGTACATAGCAATTAAAGACATAAAGCCAAAGGCAAGTTTCAGTCTCAATACCATAATACGTTCATGGACTGGAGTAACCTCTGGAGATGGCTATGGTTACTTCTTGAAGATGGTGACTATAGCTGCAGCCCGACCAGTAATAGGTGTAGCCACCCACACTGATCGTGCCGCTGCCAGGTCTTCTCACCTCCGAGAGAGCAACCACATCACCTCTCAGCCACCCCAGTTCCCTTGACACTAGTGGCAACTGATCAACCTTTCGTAAAGAGCGGATGTCCCAAGGCCCTACACTGATTTCCCACCTGAGATTAAGCTTCAGGCAGTCAATCAGGGTGGACGCCACCTCTGCCACCCCCATAAAGTGAGGGGTGGCTGGCCACAGGTCCATAAATCCACCTGTGGTGGTTCCGTGGGCTTTGACCGAAAAGCCTCATGCCAGGTTGGCAGCCACTGGGACACAGATGGAACGGGAAACCCCAGCTCCCAATCTGAGTCCCAGCGGTCGTCAAACCAAAGGGACCTGAAGCCTGCCTTGCTGAGAAGGAGGGATGTGTTGTAGCACCAACATGTAAATGAAACACTGTCAGTTTGTGTTCTCTCAGGGAAGCGGACTGGCAAGGACCGCCTCCCCACAGCCACCCATTAACCCCAGGGGGCAAGGGGGGCAAGAATTAGTATGAAGCCTGTGCATGTCCGCAAGCCTGTGGACCATGACTCCATACCTTTGGGGCCCTCTGCTGCCCCAAGAGTCTCCACTGTTCAGTCTAGAACTTAGTGCCTAGTTTCCATGCTGACCACGAGGAGGTATTGCAGAAGTCTTGATGATAGAGAGGCTATGAGCTGGCAGGTAAGTCTTATGCACAACTACTCCCTTTTCACACCAAGTTAGTTAGTGGTGGCAGCTGCAAGCGAGAAGGTATGCAAAGCTCATAATACTATCTAGGCTACTACACCATCGCTTCACACCCAGGGCATGGAACACCCACCCACCATATATATATATATATATATATGTGTGTGTGTGTGTGTGTGTGTGTGTGGTGTGTGTGTGTGTGTGTGTGTGTGTGTGTGTGAACTTTTAGGTTTATACTAATTCCTACTAATTTCCAGAGAAGAGGATGAAATTAAAGAAAGAAAACAAAGGTGAGAAGGAAGTCAAAGGGAGAGGCAGAAAAGTTGCTAAAGAAGAAGGACAAAGGAGAAAAGTAAGTCTGAGATTTTTCATAATCGATCATATGTAATTCATGACACTGTGTTGGGGGTGGGGTGTTACAGTGTTTATAATCATTATACATACCGCAGATTTTCAGTTGCACTACATGTGATATCGGGTACAAGAACAACCCACAGTGTATTTCATGCTTCATTCATTCTTAGAACTTCATTCACTTATAAAAGAATGATAAACCACAAAGTTTATTCGTAACTACTAAAATGCTATACAGGATAAGAAGGGAGAATAAAATTGTGAAGATAAACTTTTTTTTGCGTAAATGCATTAGAAACTCCTTAGGTAAAAATAGGTGTCTGCTAAAGAACTATCATATGTACTAGATATTAAAAGCCAATGTGGTCTGTCCTCATTTTGCATACCGATGTTGAGTAGAAACTACAGTTTACGTGAGTCAACTGTCAATACCATTAAGTATTTAAGCCCTTATTGCTATTCTATCACAGCTAAAGCCCAAAAACCTGAACAAGATAAGAATTCACTGAAAAAGGTCAGCTTATCAGGCAGAAAAGCTGCTGAAGATACAGACAAAAGGAAAAACAGTAAGTTTGTCTTTACTCTTTCACACCTGCTGATATACATGTACAGAAATTTAATATATATATATATATATATATATATATATAATATATATATATATATATATATATATATATATATATATACATGTCACTCCTTTCCTTAAACTTTGTCTTTTCTTGCAGAATGCAAAACTAGGAAGAGATGCAGAAAATTGGCAGGAGTTTGTCAGTCCAAGAAAATGGCATGCGTCGGCGGCAAGAAGTTGAAAGGCACGAAGTTATGTAACAAGAAAAAGTGTCGCTGCTGCGCCCCTAAATGTGAGTCTTTTCTTTGCAAACGGACCTAAAAGGAATCAATTTTACATTAGCCATCACAAATGTTTGAATCAAATGCAGATGTTGCTCATGTCAGCAGAATAACATGTGATACACAAGATGTTTTATAGGTCAAAGTCTGTCATCCAAGCAGCACATTAACAAATACTTTATATGAACCACACCAACATACGCCTTTACACACTCTTATGCATGAGCACCAGATGCAACTCAAGTATGTGCCTGTGTGTGTACACGTGCGTACTTAATCCTACTCCTAGAAATACATAGGTGTGTACCGGGAAAAAAAAACTAGTTTCTTCTTTCTCCAGCATCACTATGCAAGGAAAAGAAATGGTGCAAGAAACGGGCGGAAAATGCCAATTCAAGTGGGAATCCTGCGACGGAAAGACAAGGGCTAAGGGATGCAGAGGAAGCAGCGTCTGCGTCTGTTGTATTCGTGAGTCTCTGTCCATTTCCAAATGTCTGGATCAATGCTAAGACTGTTTCGAAATCTCTAATTTCAACAGGATTTGAGCTGAAATATGGGAGATACATCTTCTGGAAGCAAATATATGTTGATGTGTTGATGTTTATATGTACATAATAGGTTGCCACATCATAACTTTGCAAATTTAATCACACAAATACGTTCTTTTCACAGCCGAAATCTCACCAACCCCGGCTCCTACTCCCGCACCAACTCCAGCACCAACTCCTGCTCCAACTCCAGCACCAACTCCTGCTCCCACTCCTGCACCAACACCACTCCCTGTCCCACTCCCGCACCAAGTCCTGCGCCAACCCACTCCGCACCAAGTCCTGCCAACTGGTCCCACTCCCGCACCAAGTCCTGCGCCAACTGGCCCACTCCCGCACCAACGCCAACTGGTCCCACTCCCGCACCAAGTCCTGCACCAACCCCACTCCCGCACCAACTGGTCCCACTGCACCAACTGGTCCCACTCCCGCACAACACCAACTGGTCCCACTCCCGCACCAAGTCCTGCACCAACTGTCTGCACCAACTGGACCCACACCGGCACCAACTGGTCCAACTCCTGCACCAACTGGTCCCACTCCCGCACCAAGTCCTGCTCCCACTGCTGGCCCCACTGCTGGTCCAACTGCAGGTCCCACTTCTGGCCCAACTTCAGGTCCCACTTCTGGCCCAACTGCAGGCCCCACTTCTGGTCCAACTGCAGGTCCCACTTCTGGCCCAACTGCAGGTCCCACTTCTGGCCCAACTGCTGGCCCCACTGCTGGCCCCACTGCTACTTCAACCGCTGGCCCCACTGCTACCTCAACCGCTGGCCCCACTGCTACCTCAACCGCTGGCCCCCTACCTCAACCGCTGGCCCCACTGCTACCTCAACCGCTGGCCCCACTGCTACCTCAACTGCTGGTCCTACTGACAGTTCTAGTAGCTCTTCTGAATGATTCATATAAATCTGAAATGCATCTTTGCCAAGACTATAAACGGCTCTCTCCCTTCTCATTCATCCACTTGTATGAAGGACTGTACAAGGCAAATGGCCTCCATAGGAAACTATTTGCTTGCGAAGAATGTTGATGTTAGTCAATAAATATTGCAAACTGTAGTGCAGATATTTATATTAACCATTGATTTCTTAGTAATAACTTTTCTACAAAGACTTTCCTCTTCATTTATATACAAAAATGAAGTAATTCCGGATACTTTTTTGTGTGCTTGTGTATGTGTGTGAAAATGTACATTTGTGTATATAGATATTTATATTTTGTATTTTTATATTTATAAGTATATATATATATATATATATATATATATGTATATATATATATATATATATATTATGTATATATATATATATATATATATATATATATATATATATATATATATGTATATATATATATATATATATATATATATATATATATATATATATATATTATGATATATATATATATATATATATATATATATATATATATATATATATATATATATATGTATGTATATATATATATATATATATATATATATATATATATATATATATATATATATCATATATATATATATATATATATATATATATATATATATATATGTATATATGTATTATATATATATATATATATATATATATATATATATATATATATATATATATATATATATATATATATATATGTGTATCATATATATATATATATATATATATATATATATATATATATATATGTATGTATATATATATATATATACTATATATATATATATATATATATATATATATATATATATATATATATATATATATATGTATATATATATATATATATATATATATATATATATATTATATATGCATCTATATATATATATATATATATATATATATATATGCATCTATGTATGTATATATGACGTCAGAATTGATGACGTCAGAATTGATGCTAAACCCATAGAGACGTGCTGTGAAAAACGAATCATGGCAAGAATTGAGCAGCTCACATTTGCTTTGCATGAACAGAAGCAACATCAGCAGCAGTTACAACAACGACACCGACGGCAGCAACAACAGCAGCAAATGCAGCATCAAGGTCTGCAGTCCGACTCGGCAACCTCTCTGCCTTCTAACCCATCACTCACCCGTGGGTGAGTGATGTAACGGGACACACGAGGTGGCTGGACCACGTCGTGTGTCTCGCGTCGTTGCTGCCTCGTCTCAGCATGCACGTCAGGCATGATATAATTAGTAGTGATCACCGTCCCCTGGGGGTCACCGTAGCTGCCCTGGTCACACCTACAGCCATAACAATTAATGAAAGCAAAATAATATGTGCTGTGAAAAACAAATGACTATTATAGAAAAATAGAGCAAATGTTAAAAGAAATAGATCTACCAACAGATGTGGTTCATTGCAATAGCCCAGTGTGCAATGATGTCACGCATAAAGACGCATTATCCGAGTTCAATAAACGTGTCGTGAAAGCCCTGCTACGGTCAGGCGTGGCGTGGAACTATTCGAGCGGGAGCCACGTCATTCCTGTCTGGAACGAGCTAGTGCGGGACCGCCACCGCGAGGCGAGGAGCTGCTACTTGGAGTGGCGCGCCAGTGGCAAGCCGCGTCGAGGCCCTGTGTACATGCGCATGGCGTTAAGAGCGATTCAGAAATGGTATGGTCAGAAATAAACAGAAAGAAGGCTTTCAAAACACCACTGTCTGATGCTATCGACAATGCTACGGGAAGCGTAGAAATCAGTAACCTATGGCGTGATCACTATAGAAATCTATTTCACGATGTGACACATCCCGCTCTGTAATTCTGCCACGAAATATCGTCGACGCACCGACGGTTACTTTTCGAGAGGTGGAAAACGCCG